TTGACACGAGGAGATAGACCAGGTGACAGAGAGCTGGGGTAATTTGGGGAAGAGAGGAATGTTTGAAGAGACAGCTGTGGCTAACGAAGTTTCAGTTTATTACTGCCTTATAAACTTAGGAAGCTGGTACCCAGCCTGGACATTATAGAGAACTTTTATTTCCATGTTATGGTAGATGACTGAAAGAAGACCACAGATAAAGCAAAAAGCCAACTTTATTCTTACAAATTTTTCTCTGTATTTCATTTTATTCACCAAATTGTTAAAAACAAACAAACAACGTTGTACCAGCTAATTCAAACTTAATTAATGATCCCTCTCCAAACAGCATAGAATCAGCACTCTGGTTGGTAGGAATGGGTAACATTTATTTGGAGGTAGAGAAATTGGCAAGATGCTAGAAAGAGTCATTTTGAAGTTACTTTTTTTTCCTCCTTTGAAGTATGTGGAATGTACAAAAAGAATATGGAGCCCCAGTTTTTTACTAGGTCTAAGGCTTTAACTTTGTGTTTTTTTTTTTTAGGTTAAGCATGAAAGATACTGGAGGAAATGATAATTAATGGGACATTTCTGCAGATCACTGATGGGGATAGAGGATGCTCTGACTAGTAATCTGCTGGTCCGGTTGAATTTTACCTGTATGCTTCAGTCATGCCAGGGAGCTCCACCATGAATGATGTGGAAGGTGAAAGTGATTGGAGAGATCAAACTTTGGAATATAACTGCTACAAGAGTCAAAGTGATAAGGAGGGAACAGTTTTCTCTCTAGGGGCACTGAGAGTGATTATGGGAGACCTCTACCTTTTTTATGGCTGCCAGAGATCTGTCCGATCCCCCAGTGTGTAGGCTGTCATTAGCATTTTCCAGCATTCCTTGGTACTTACTACTTGTCCCCTTTGCATTTCCTTGTTTCCTGTTGTTTTTTATTGTCTCCCGTCCGTGAGGGCAGAGCCCAAGACTATTTTTACTCACCATTTTAGCCCCATTGCCTACTATATTGTCTGACACATAATAGATACTTAGCAAATACTTGCTGAATGGAGCGTGACTGAATTGCAAAGGCTTATTGGACCACTCTATTGATGCGGAGGTATAGCATTACCCCCAGTTTACTGATTAAGATGGGCTTACTTTCCAAGCTCCTGGCTAAAATGCTGCAATAGCATTTGGCGTAGTAAATATTAAAGAATTCTGAAGAACACTACTTGCAGAGGAAAGAGGCAAAATCTCCAAACAAGTGCTGTCATTATAAATGTTGGATTTTTTCCCTCCCAGATGTTTTATTGGTGTATTCCCTACCATGTAGTGGGATTACAGTTTTGTTGGTAAAAATTACCTTCTCTCTTTAGAATGTATATTCTTCATCATCCTGAGTCATAGTGATGAATGCAGTTCTCAGCCTACGCACAAGCTCCTACCTTCCGTACTATCAGTTTTTACCCACTCTCTACTGACCAGTTGCTGAGATATCTGAAAAGGCACTCTCATTCTTGCATTTGTTTCTTGTTTGTGATGTTTCTTGGTCTCACTGAAATTTAAAGGGGGCAGATATGGATGGAAGTCTTGAGTTAGGATCTCTCATTCTCATAGCTTTCTCTAATAATCTGGCTACAATTCCTACATTAGTACTATTCTGTCTAATAGTGATGTCGTTTTTTTGGCAAAGCATTATTTGTGCTTGAATAGGTTGCTCTGTTAGGGAACTAAAAGCTTAAGAGAGAACTTAAGCGATTTTACTATACTTATTTCATCTGTCTATAGAACTGACTTTAAAATGTTTACAAAAAATGTAAAACTTGACTGAGCTTTGAGGAACTGTCTATGTTAAGGCAAGAAGGTAGGTATGAACAAGCATTCTATTTTAGGTGGAGACTAGAATTTATAAAATTTTGGAAATACTGGAGCCTTTGAAAAATACTGGTTTTCCTAGGGTATTTGCTGGTGAAGAGGAAGAATCAAGATGTGTACAAACAGAACAAAATTGGGGAGGGGGGAAGACATGCAAGATTATTAATTAAAGCCCTTTAAAACTCTGAAACTTTGTTTTGTTTTATTAACCAATACAAAATTTTATTTTTATTATTTATCTCCATAATTACATTAGCTAGATCAAATAATAACATTGAAAAATACACTGGCTAAAGACCAAAGAGAGACTAATGCCTCAGTTGGATAATAGCAAATGATAAAATATTTTTTAATTCAAAATTATTTTTTAATTTTTATTTTATCCTTTAATTCAAATGATAAAATATTTAGTTAAAATATTTTTTAATTCAGTATTTTTAATTCAATGATTTTTAATCATTCACAAGCTTTAATTTTTTTATTTTATTTTATTTTTTTTGAGACAGAGTCTCGCTTTGCCCAGGCTAGAGTGAGTGCCCTGGCGTCAGCCTAGCTCACAGCAACCTCAAACTCCTGGGCTCAAGCCATCCTACTGCCTTAGCCTCCCAAGTAGCTGGGACTACAGGCATGCACCACCATGCCTGGCTAATTTTTTCTGTAGATATTAGTTGGCCAATTAATTTATTTTTATTTATAGTAGAGATGGGGTCTTGCTCTTGTTCAGGCTGGTTTCGAACTCCTGACTTTGAGCAATCCACTTGCCTCAGACTCCCAGAGTGCTAGGATTACAGGTGTGAGCCACCTCGCCTGGCCCACGAGCTTTAATTTTTAAATGTTTTAGTACAGATAGACTGGTAAGCTACAGAATTTTTAAGAGTCTTTCTTTTCTTGGCTGAAGAAGCAGACAAAAACTTTCAAAAGAAGCCATCTATATCTATTATAGTAAAACAAAGAAAGCTTTTGTGCTATCAATGTCCTTCACAATATTTAAAGCAGATACAAGAAGAGTTCCTATTTATTAAAAGAACAGGGATGGTAGATACCAATTTTTATTAAATAAAGCTGTTTCTTTCTTTCTTTTTTTCTTTTTTTTTTTTGAGACAGAGTCTCACCCTTGTTGCCCTGGCTAGAGTGCTGTGGCGTCAGCCTGGCTCACAGCAACCTCAAACTCCTGGGCTTAAGCAATCCTACTGCTTCAGCCTCCCCAGTAGCTGGGACTACAGGCATGTGCCACCGTGCCCAGATAATTTTTTCTATGTATTTTTAGTTGGCCAATTAATTTCTTTCTATTTTTAGTAGAGACAGGGTCTTGCTCTTGCTCAGGCTGGTTTTGAACTCCTGGCCTTGAGTGATCCTCCCGCCTTGGCCTCCCAGAGTGCCAGGATTACAGACATGAGGCACCATGCCCAGCCCTTGTTGTCTGGTTTTATTAGAAATTCTGACCACCTTAGTTTTCATAATGTCTCATATCTGGTACTCTGGACACAGACATCTACAGATTCAAGGATTGGGCCATTAAGAAACTGAAATGCAACCTAGTTGCATTTATTTATCCAGGCTGTCTAGGGGGAACCATCTACTGGATTTGAGGCATTTTTTCCCCACCCTTGTATAGGATATTTTTAATGTCATGAAATATTTCAAATGTACAGGGACCAATAAAATGAATACATATGTACTACCCCGCTCTATAAGATTTTAATAATCTGCCATACTTGTTATTTTAAAAGAAGTAACACATTAAAACAAAGAAATGATTGTAATCTCTTTCCTCATTACTTCAAGGTAATCATTATCATTAATTTGGTACTTGTCAATCTCATGTTTTTTATACTTTTGTTGAATACGTATGTACTTATAAAATGTTATTTTGCATGTTTTTGGTCCTGATATAATTTGTTTCAACATGCACATTTCTATTTGAAGTTTGCATTTTAAATGTATTTTTGGAGATTTCAGCCATCTGCATTCATTTTTACCTACTGTATTCTGCTATATGAATATAACTCATTTATCTGTTGTTCCAATTTTGAAAGTTTAGATTGTTTCTAATTTTTTCATTACCAGAAAAGAGCATTTGTATCTTTATTTGCAAACATTTCTGTAGGGAGTTTACCTTGAAGAAAAGTGTGCTATTTATTATATTTATTCATTTATTTATGCCAAATTGTTCTGAAGTTCTTTTACTAATTTTAACTCCCCCCAGTATTGTGGGAACTTTCCTATTTTTCCACATTCCTCCTCAGACTTGATGTTAACATACTCTAAAAATGTTTTTCCCATCTGAAATATTATCTTAAGGTAATTTGATTCTGTTCTATCAGTGATGATAAATAGGTTTCATGGGTTTATTCATTGTTCAAGTTTGCACTTATAAATTGAAATAGCATATTCTGCGGATTTATTTGTGCTGCCAGATTTTTGTTCAGTATTTTGGAGTTCAGTATTTTTGTTCAATATTTTGGATATTGATAGGCAGAGTAAATAAATAAACATTCTCTTTAACAAACTAACACATTGGAGGCTTGTTATATGTTCTTTTAGAAAAATGTTACCAATGTTTTACCCCTCCCAAAACTCCAGAGTTCTGTAAAAATGTTATGAAGCTTCCCATACTTGTTGGTATCTCAGAAATGGCATATCCTAATGAGCCTAAGTGTTGTCAAGAATCTGGTATAGTGAGATCTGGAGCCTGGGCCAACACGTGTAAATTGCTTACTTTTCTTTTGAGACAGAGTCTTGCTGTCTCACTGGGTAGAGTGCTCCAGGTAGAGTGCAGTGTGGCATTGGGCTCACGCGATTCTCCTGTCTCAGCCTCCTAAGCAGCTGGGACTACAGGTGGGCACCATGATGCCTGGCTAATATTTCTATTTCTAGTAGAGACGGGGTCTTGCTCTTGCTCAGGCTGGTCTTGAACTCTTGAGCTCAAGCAATCCTACTGCCTCGGTTTCCCAGAATGCTAGGATTACAGGTGTGAACCACCTCACTTGGCCAGTAAGCTATTTTGATTAAGGGTAATTTGTCAGTTAATGACTATAAGTAAGTTTACTGCACCAGTAGTAGTTTATTGCTAAATGCCCAGTTTGTGTCATTTTTACAAATTTGAAGGAGTATTTGCTGAAGTGCTGACTCTTCTTTTTCTCATCTTCCAGGTTGTAGCAGAGTAAGATGGACGGTAGCTTTGATTGTGATTGTGGTGAGCTGGAGCCACCTGATCACTAACAAAAGACATCTTCTGTTAACCAACAGCCGCCAGGGCTTCCTGTTGAAATATATAGCAACAAAGGAAGAGAAGAAGCAAAACGGAAATAGTGCTTACCAGCACCTTAGAATGATGCTGCTCAGGACCAGTCCAACACTGAATGTATCTGCACTGTGAGGAGAATGTTCATAGAAGCCTGTTGTGTGCATATTTATTCACATTTTTGTTAAATGTTAAATCGTTTAGCACAGTAAATCTGAGTGCATAGTATGTCATTTCATTCCGTTTGAGTTTCTTGAGTGTTTTCTTTAAATGTCTGCAGAGTTGCTGCCCCTTTCTTGAACTATGAGTACTGCAATCTTTTTAATTCTCAGTATGAGTAGAGCTTTTTGAGCTTTAAGGGGAACTCAACGGGCCTGGTTGGCGTATGCAATGAGCATCAAGAAACCATCTTGCTGTGGAAGCATAATTATTTTTCTTGTCCCTTTTTGAAAGATCTTTCCTTTTGATGCCAGTTTTCTTCCTTGTTTACACAAGTTCAACAATTGGAAAGGAAAAGGCAATAGTAAGGTTTTCAAAATGGCAGAGAAATTTGAAAGTCTCATGAACATTCATGGTTTTGATCTGGGCTCTAGATATATGGACTTAAAACCATTGGGTTGTGGAGGCAATGGCTTGGTTTTTTCTGCTGTAGACAATGACTGTGACAAAAGAGTAGCCATCAAGAAAATTGTCCTAACTGACCCGCAGAGTGTCAAACATGCTCTACGTGAAATCAAAATTATTAGAAGACTTGACCATGATAACATTGTGAAAGTGTTTGAAATTCTTGGTCCCAGTGGAAGCCAGTTAACAGACGATGTGGGCTCTCTTACGGAACTGAACAGTGTTTACATTGTTCAGGAGTACATGGAGACAGACTTAGCTAATGTGCTGGAGCAGGGCCCTTTACTGGAAGAGCATGCCAGGCTTTTCATGTATCAGGGGCTCAAGTATATTCACTCTGCAAACGTACTGCACAGAGATCTCAAACCAGCTAATCTTTTCATTAATACTGAAGACTTGGTGCTGAAGATAGGTGACTTTGGTCTTGCACGGATCATGGATCCTCATTATTCCCATAAGGTATGTGAAAAGGCAGCTAATACTTTTAAACTGGATGTACATAATCAGAAATAGGTACTTCCTATCTATGTTGTATCAGAATTTTTAGTTAATCATATTAAAGTATACATAATGCCTTTTTTGTGATATGTATCAGGTTTCATTCATAGTCTCCCTGTGTTTGAAATGAAGGTGGAGTGGGATCCTAATTAAATACAAATTCCTAAAAGTATATGACTATTTATTATAATGAAGTTCTGAAGTATATGGTTAGTCATTATAAATAAAATTCTCCCTTAGTTATTTGAAAGTAGATACATTTTCTTTTTGGGGCAGAATTGTGGTCCTATTTGAAAGTAAGAGGGGATGCTATTTCAGTTTTTAGGTGTTTTTGTTATTTATTATTTTAAGAGGCCAGGCTTGCTGTTGCCCAGGCTGGCCTCAGGCAATTCTTCCTCAGCCTCCCAAGTAGCTGGGACTATAAGTACATACTACTGTGCCCAGCTTAGTAGGTCTTCTTTTGTCCCTTTGAATCTATACTATTCAGTTATACTTTGTTAAACCTAATTTGGTTTGAACCTTAAATTCACACAGTTGACAGTATAGCCAAAACGTTTCATACCAACTTTTTCTTTAGATAGCAACTTGCCTTTGTACAAGAATTTAATAACATTTTTCAAGCTGAACCCTGGTCTTTTAGTTTTTAAATGGAATCTTATGGGGACCTTGATATTTAAAATAGAAAATTGGAGCTGCTTTGGTTGTAAAGAACCCCTGGGACCCCTGTGATGCCTGCTTGCTTTCCATAGCACATGTCTAAAACAAATCTCCATTCATACATACCGTCTCGTATTCAGGATATTTTTACTTAATTTTTTTTTTTTCGGGACAGTCTTGCTCTGTAGTCTCTGCTAAAGTGCAGTGGTGTCATCATAGCTCACAGCAACCTCAAACTCCTGGGCTCAAGCGATCCTCTTGCCTCAGCCTCCCAAGTAGCTTTGGTTACACCTTCCGCCACCATGCCTGGCTAATTTTTTCTATTTTTGGTAGAGACGGGGGTCTCGTTCTTGCTCAGGCTGGTCTTGAACACCTTGCCTCAAGTGATCTTCCTGCCTTGGCCTCTCAGAGTGCTAGGATTATAGGCATGAGTTGCTGCACCTGTCCTTAAAAAAATTTTTAACATAGAAAATGAATACTAAGCTGAAATGGATAACCACGTCTTTTTTTATGGGTGATAATGAAGTATTGTGAATAGAACAGTGAACTAAGATAAGAGTTACACTGTCAAAAATTGACTTTCATTTGTATATCCAACTTAGCTATATTACCTTAAGCAGATCCTTATTCTGTGAGTGTTATCACACCTGTAAAATGGAGTTAATATCTACCATCACAATTTCCCAAGGTGGTTCTATGGATGCAATACATATATATATATATATATATATATATATATATATATATGTATGTATTTTCATCAAATGCTTTATAAATACAAAGCAGTAGAATAGATCGATTATGAATAGGGTATATAGTAGAGCTAGATTCCCTGGATTGTCAGTAAGGAGGTTGGCACTGGTTTATAAGTAGCACCTCTGCCTTTCTCTGACTTAAAGCATATCTGCTCCTTAATTATCTTAGGACTTGGAATGAAAAATAGCTCATCTTCTGAAAATGTGTGGCCTAGAGTTAACACTATAACTGATTGGAGTTGTATATTATAAATTCTTATATTTTGGTCAGCAAACTTCCTGTGAACATCATCTAGATGGCTTATCCCAGGGGGAGTTTAACTCCAGCCTCAAAAGTACAAGAACCTTGAAAATAGGCTTAGAAATCAACAGTCTCATTTTAGGATTTAACAGTGTTATTCTGGGTTTTTGTTTGTTTTTTTAAGATCAAGGATTCTTTAGTGAATTAAGCATTCTTTAGTGAATTATGTACTGTTCTTTAGCAAAAGTAAAAAACAATATATGTTTGTTTTTGTTTTAGGGTCATCTTTCTGAAGGATTGGTTACTAAATGGTACAGATCTCCACGTCTTTTACTTTCTCCTAATAATTATACTAAAGCCATCGACATGTGGGCTGCAGGCTGCATCTTTGCTGAAATGCTGACTGGTAAAACTCTTTTTGCAGGTTAGTGTTATGTGGGGAAAAAAATTATCCCAAAGAGAAATAATTTTGCATACATCTATGAAGCAAGATCTTAAGATTTAAAACAATGTAGGATGGTCAGGAATATTAAAATGAAAAGGTAAAATGGTGTTTTTATTCAAAAAGTAAGAAAACTTATTTACAGATTGATTAAATTGATCATTTCATAAATTACTAGAATTTTTTCTTTTATAGATACTGTTTTATTTTGTGGATCCATAATAGTTGATAATCTGTTAAGTGATACCTGAGTTTCATAATTCTGTGTTTGTCACTGCCTGGTGAAATTTTTTTTGGCTGTTGAAAATCCTACAAATTTTTCTCAGTCCCTCTTCCCCCCATCGTCCCTGTTGCTTGACTGCTGTGACCTTTCAGAAATAACCAAACAAGTAGTTTTTTGTTAAGTTTGGTGCTATGAAGGTGTCTAAAGAAGTGTGAGACAGAGAATGTTGTCAAAATGAGGTGAATAGTCCATGAAAAATGTCATATATCGTAAGGCAAAGTATGAGTTTGTATAAAATTATTTAGTACAGACTAAGAGCCGTAAACTTAGGCTACATCAGGGATAGCTGGAATGGAAGGCATAATGGAGTCAAAATTTTTCACTATATAGGGTGAGTGAAGAATTTTGATTGGAGAAAGAGAAAAATACGTTATCTATTTAAGGGTACCCATTTAAATAAAGGCATAAGCCTGGTACATTTCTGAATCAGTGAGAAAAGTTCAATGAAAACAGGTGTCAAATAATGAAGATATTTATGACTAGTTAAAATGGGGCCAGAATACTTAGAAAGGCTCTTAGAAAGCAGGGAGAGGACTTTCCATTTGGGAGACTAGGAAATAGGGCAACTGTAGATTTTTTAGTTGGGGAAGTGATTTGATTGTGATTTATTTATTTATTTTTTTTAGTCTTCTGACATTACTTTTTTTCTCCAGAAAAGTATGGCCCTTCCACCATTCTCAGATTGTGCTAAGAGCAGAAGGAAGGGATTCAGGCAGAGTCTGTTTATAAAAGAAAGATTAGGGTGCATAGGAGAGCATTGTTGAAGAAAGGACAGTGTGCATAAATGCCCTTAAGTATGTTTTTAATGCCAGTACTTGTTACAACATTTATTATAGTTTCTGTGAGTCAAAATTTGGAAGTGGCTTAGCTGGGTGGGTGGTTCTAGCTCAGGTTTTCTCAGTCAAGATGTTGATCAGGGCTGTAGTCACCTGAAGGCTCAACTGGGGCAGGAGGATCCACTTCTAGATAGTAACCAAGTCCTGTACGTAAGCTAAGAGGCCTCAGTTCTTCACCATGTGGGCTTCTCCATAGGATTGCTTGAGTGTCTTCACAATATGGCAGCTAGCTGCCTTTCTCTAGAAAGGGCAAAACAAAGATCTAAAAGAGAGCAAGGAGAGAAAGCGAATATAATTCACATACCATATAATTCATCCCTTTAAAGTTTATAGTTCAATATTTTTTGGTATATTTACAGGGTTGTTTAACCATCACCGCAATCTAGATTTTTTCCCTCTTAAAAGATCCCTGTAATTATTAGCAGTCACTTCCCATTTCCCCCTTTCCCTAACAACCACTAATCTACTTGGTGAGTTTGCCTATTCTGGACATCTCTTGTAAATGGAATCATATAACCTTTGGTCTTTGGGACAGACTTCTTTCACATAGCAGTATTTGGGGGTTCATATTGTGGCATACATATATTAGTACTTTTTTATGGCCAAATAGTATTCCACTGTATGGATATACAACATGTTATTTATCCATTCATCAGTTGATAGACATTTGGGTTTCCACTTTTTGACCGTCATGAATAATGCTGCTTATGAATATTTTGTGTACAAGTTTTTGCTTGAACATATTTTCAGTTCTCTTGGGTTATATATATGCAGAAATGGGATTGCTGGGTCATGTGGTAACTAATTTTCCAAAGCAGTGGCACTGTTTTTACATTCCCACCAGCAATATATGAGGGTTCCAGTTTCTCCACATTCTCACCAACACTTATTTGAAATATCTTTTTAAGTATCACCATCCTGGTGGGTATGTAGTAGTATCTGATTTTGTTGATTAGCATTTCCCTAGTAACTAATAATGTTGAACATCTTTTCATGTGCTTATTGGCCATTTTTATATCTTTGGAGAATATCCAGAGCCTTTGCTCAATTTATTTTTGAGACAGAGTCTCGCTTTGTTGCCCAGGCTAGAGAGAGTGCCGTGGCGTCAGCCTGGCTCACAGCAACCTCAAACTCCTGGGCTCAAGTGATCCTGCTGCCTCAGCCTCCCGAGTAGCTGGGACTACAGGCACGTGCCACCATACCCGGCTAATTTTTTTCTGTATATATTAGTTGGCCAATTAATTTCTTTCTATTTATAGAAAGGGGTCTCGCTCTTACTCAGGCTGGTTTTGAATTCCCGACCTCAAGCGATCCACCCACCTCGGCTTCCCAGAGTGCTAGGATTATAGGCATGAGCCACCGCGCCCGGCCCTTTGCCCAATTTTTAATTGGGTTATTTGTCTTTCTATTAAGTTGTAAAAGTTCTTTATATAATTCTAAATACAAATCCCTTATCAAGATATGACTTACATGAATTTTCTCCCATCCTGCAGTTGTGTTTTCCTTTCTTGATGTCTTTTGGAAAAGATTTTAATTCTGTTGAAATCCAGTTTATTATTTTGTCACTTTTGCATTGTATCTAGAAACTATTGCCTAACCTAAGGTCATGGATATTTATTCCTGTTTAGAGTATTATAGTATTAACTTTTACATTTAGAGCTATCATTTTATGTTAATTTTTCTGTATGATAGGGGTCCAACTTCATTTTTTTGCATTATGGATAACCAGTTGTCCATCATTTGTTGAAAAGATTCTTTCCTCATTGAATTTTCTTGACAAAAATCAGTTGATCATAAATGCAAAATATCATTTTGTAACTTAGTCTGAGAAGTTACATACTGTCACTTCAGCTTTATTTTGTAGTGTTTGAAGTGACCAAGGGGAGGGGAGTTGGATTCCACCCTTTGAAAGGAGGAGTATCAAAGAATTTGTGGACATATATAATGAATCAGAAAAGCAAAAATTTAAGTCTACATAATTTAAAATCATTAGGTCATGCTCCAAGTCATAGAAATGGGGAGTCAGTACCTACTGCTGCATTGATTATACAGAGGTACTTAATGTATTTTAAAATATTCATATGGCACATTGTGAAACATTGTTCGGGTATGATAAGTAGATTTTTAAAAAACCTAAGTAGCATAATTTTATCTTAAACCCACATAAACTTTAAACATTTAATTAATAGGAATTGTTTGTGAAATGATTTGAAAGATCTAGGTTGTCCTGTCTTGTTACTAGATGCCTTATTTCGGTGTCTTGATGAACCATTCAATAAAAGCAGCGTGAAGGGAGATCTAAGTGATTATTAGGTATAAGTTGTAAATGGACAGAGCAACAAAAGGCAAGGACTGCTTAGTCCTTAAGCATAGTCCTTAGTCCTTAAAATATACCAGTTTTCATTGGAAACTGGTATATTTTTAACCTATAGGGAGTGGCCTAGTCTTACTTTCTGTTGTGCATCCATATTGTCACTGCGGTGCTCCTATCCCAGGTCAGACCTTTGCTCTAGCACTTTTTTCTCTTGTACCTTCATTTTATCCCTTCTATTAATAGATTTTTATCAGTATTTAAACACTGATATGTTTCCAGTCTTAAAAAATAAAACTCTCTGGACCCCACATCCTTTCAACTACTGCACATATTCCTGGACTCTGAAGGTCATGCTCCTCAAAAGAAGTGTGCATTCTTGCTATTCTTAATGCTTCTACTTCTGTTGTCTCTAGTCAGGCTTTGTACTCTACTAAAAAGCTGCTCTTGTCAAGATCACCAGTCATCTTCATAATGCTGACTCCCTGATCAATTCCAAGTCCTCATTTTGAGCCATCTCCATTTATCTTTGCGTCCCTCGTACTTATTATTCATCCTTCTTTCTGTACACCACTGTCTTGAATTCTTCTCTATCCTCAATGACCCTTTTCCAGCCATCTTTCCCATTTCTTCCCTTTACTCTTGTGTCATTTGGTCCCTGGACTCTTTTCTAGCTTCGCTTACTCCCTGGGTAATCTCATTCTTTTTCATTCCTTTAAATTCTATCTATATCTGATCTTAACTCTTAATATCTCCACTTGGATATCTAATAACATCTCAAATTTAACCTATCCATAACTGAGCCCCTGCTGTTTCTCACTCATAGTCTTCCCCATCTTAAACCAGCACCTCCATTTTTCAGTTGCTCAGGCAAAAATCTTGTCATCTTTCACTGCTGTTGTAAGTGGGCTCCTCCTTCAAAATATATCAAGACTCTAACTGCTTGTTATTATCTCTGTTACTACCCTGTTTCCCCAGTCCAATCAGCCATTAAATGTCTTCTGTTCTAATGCAGGACCTTCTAACTGGCTTTCCTGCTTCAGTATTTGCTCTCTGAAGGTTAGTTACCGCATAGCAGCCAGAGTAGTCCTGTTAAAACATTAGTCAGATCATGTCATATCTCAACTCAAACTGTGTAATGGCTTCCCATCAAACCTCAGGGTAAAGTGAGCCCTTGTGTGGTCTGGTACCACTCTGACTTCATCTCCTGTTACTCGTCTAATTGCTGTTTCTTGGATGTACCACACCCACTCTCTCCTTGGGCCTTTTACTAGACCTCCTTTCTCCCCTGAATGTTTGGTGTATTCCAAATATTCATAAGCTTCTTAGTGAGGCCTTCCTTGGTCATTCTTTATAAATTAGCAACCCTATTCCTCCTAACAGTGCTGTCTATCCCCCTTAGCTTACTCTATTTTACTTCATAGCATTTATCACCATTAGATATATTATTTGTTTACAGAATTATCCACCTTTGTCCACAAGATTATAAACTCCATAAAGGCAGGGACTTTTTGTATCACAGCTGTATTCCTGCTCATTCATAGGAACTCAAAAAAA